CCATGAAATTTACAAAAATAAATCCTGGCACTTATCATCGCAATACGTTGCAATGCACTAACATATGCTCCGGATCAAAGGCAAGTTTCTTGCTAGATGCAGGATAATCGAGTTGCAGACACTCTATCGATCGATTTCTAATGACCCCCACCACTTGACTTTCTTCCAAACAGCCGGTAGAATATATCGGGAGAGCGATGGCTGCCGCGTCTTACAGAGCCGAGGGTCCGACCATTGTTGAGGTCTCCTGAGATCGGTGAGCGACTTTTAGAGGCTGTGGTTGAAATGTTTTACTTTTGTCCATCATAATAATAATAGCGGTGGTAATTTTGAGCTCTTTGTCAATCCACCGCTGGATGAAGCCGTCAGCATTTTTTTCGGCCACGTCGCCAGATTGGTTAGTGGAGGTTAACGAACGGAGCTGGAAGATATGTCTCGCCACCGATGTTACCGATTGAGATATCAGTCGCCACCGATGTTACCGATTGAGATATCAGTCGCCACCGATGTTACCGATTGAGATATCAGTCGCCACCGATGTTACCGATTGAGATATCAGTCGCCACCGATGTTACCGATTGAGATATCAGTCGCCACCGATGTTACCGATTGAGATATCAGTCGCCACCGATGTTACCGATTGAGATATCAGTCGCCACCGATGTTACCGATTGAGATATCAGTCGCCACCGATGTTACCGATTGAGATATCAGTCGCCACCGATGTTACCGATTGAGATATCAGTCGCCACCGATGTTACCGATTGAGATATCAGTCGCCACCGATGTTACCGATTGAGATATCAGTCGCCACCGATGTTACCGATTGAGATATCAGTCGCCACCGATGTTACCGATTGAGATATCAGTCGCCACCGATGTTACCGATTGAGATATCAGTCGCCACCGATGTTACCGATTGAGATATCAGTCGCCACCGATGTTACCGATTGAGATATCAGTCGCCACCGATGTTACCGATTGAGATATCAGTCGCCACCGATGTTACCGATTGAGATATCAGTCGCCACCGATGTTACCGATTGAGATATCAGTCGCCACCGATGTTACCGATTGAGATATCAGTCGCCACCGATGTTACCGATTGAGATATCAGTCGCCACCGATGTTACCGATTGAGATATCAGTCGCCACCGATGTTACCGATTGAGATATCAGTCGCCACCGATGTTACCGATTGAGATATCAGTCGCCACCGATGTTACCGATTGAGATATCAGTCGCCACCGATGTTACCGATTGAGATATCAGTCGCCACCGATGTTACCGATTGAGATATCAGTCGCCACCGATGTTACCGATTGAGATATCAGTCGCCACCGATGTTACCGATTGAGATATCAGTCGCCACCGATGTTACCGATTGAGATATCAGTCGCCACCGATGTTACCGATTGAGATATCAGTCGCCACCGATGTTACCGATTGAGATATCAGTCGCCACCGATGTTACCGATTGAGATATCAGTCGCCACCGATGTTACCGATTGAGATATCAGTCGCAACCGATGTTACCGATTGAGATATCAGTCGCCACCGATGTTACCGATTGAGATATCAGTCGCCACCGATGTTACCGATTGAGATATCATTCGCCACCGATGTTAGCCGTGGGCCAGAAGCCAGGCAAAGGTCGCCGGGTCCATAGCGCAAAACTGTAACCGGTGTGGCCCACTCCACACCAACACTGTTATCACTTTTATTCTACAACACCAAAACAAACACACGCTTCCAACGCATGATTTCGCATCGCATGAGCTCGTTTGACAAAGGGCCGCCGCCGTATGGGTGAAGGCGCAGCCCCTGCAAGTGCGATGCTCACGCCACTGCTATCAGGAGGGTCTCCGCGAGGGGGCAGCTCTAGAGTGCCCCCTCTAGAGGGTACCTTGGTCTACCCTTCCACGCTCGCGTCACAGACCGACACGGTACACGTCGCAGCACACGTGGCAAGCTCTAACGGTGCACCGTACGCACGCGCGACATAAGTTCAAGGTACACGAACGCAGACGAACGCACACCGCGCGCGACTAAGCGAGGTCTACTTCGTTCGCCCCGTTGGGGGGGTCAGAGGCGGAGAAGGGGATCGAAGAAACTCGCTCCGCTGTCTCTCGACTGCCGCGCCGGGCGATTGACACAGCGACCTCGGGAGTCCACAGTGCGCCCCGCCTTTACACCAGGCGGCAGCGTGCCTTAGCAATCGGTCTCGTAATTAGTACCCACCCCGGGCCCCCCCTCCCCCCATCGGATTTGTGAAACGGCGATATTACATCTGCCTTAAGGGCGCCACGGTAGCAAGGTGATAACGACCTTGTCTGGTATGCAGGATGCACGTGGGTTCGATCCTGACCCTGACGCCTGCTGCTGTATAGTTGGAGTTTGCGTGTTCTCCCCGTGGTCACGGTTTTTACCTCCACATTTCTAATCAACATGTGTTCAGAGTATTTGGCTGCGATACATTTCCACGTGATGAGCGACTTCGTTGAGCTATCGTTCGTGGCCAGGTCGCCTCTGTCAAAAGAGCGACATATCTCAGTGGGTCTTACCTGGTAAGATAGAAAATAGTTTAGTGTTAGCCTAACTAGCATGCGGACAATCGTTATTGCGCCATCGATGCACGGCGTCATAGCGAGCACCTTCACTGGTGAATGAAGTTGACGCAGCGTGGAATTTGTTTCAAACAGCGCTCTCTGCCCTCTGGCTCGGTTAGGCGACGCAAGAAAAACAACAACAACAACAACAACTTTCCTCGCCCGTTCGTCCGTCCGCTTTCCTCCAATCGGGGCAATTAAGCGGCCGCGTTGATTGCGGGAGGGAGTAACAGAAGCCCCGACGCTGACGCTCCACCCGTGATGCCGCCGCCGCCGCCGCCGACGCAGCGCAGCCCATTCGGGGTAATTATCGGACAATGCATCCTCGCCGCACGCAAATTGACATCAGGGCAATTTATTTTACGTACAACCCCCCCCCCAGTAATGCCTCTAATGGGCTAGTAACCGATCCGCATTAATATGAGCGAGCACATCACGGCCGCGCGCAACGCTACGATGAGATTTCAAGTACAATTTAATGAAGGGGGCTCCAGTGTGTGTGTGCGTGCGTGTTTGTTCAGATTGTTTCGCACCGTATGTAGTCAGCCGTGCTAATCGGAGGTTCAGTGGCGACACCAAGGTTGGCATCGTGGTGACTTTGTTGAGAAATAACCCCAGCTCTTCGCTGTGTTTTTTTACGGTTGTCCCCGCGTGCTACTGGGCAACAAGGTCCGACGTTTCACTCCACAGGATGGGAGCTTCTCCAGGAACATGTATTTAGATTGTTGATTATTTGGCGGCGAAAAATGAGCTATCATTTGTGAAGAGTTCGCCTCTGAAAAAGAAGCTAATAGTTCAGTGGGCCTTACCTGATTTTAATTAAAGATTGTTCCGTTTTAAATTTCGAATTAAAGCTTTCGTGACTGCAGGGATTCATCTTCTTGGTTCTTTCGGTAAAGTCACGTAGAAGGTAAATAATAAAATAATAAAAATAAAACATAATAAAATAATTCTCACGACCTGAGGACGGCTGCTTGCGTTGTGGCCGAAACGTCGTGAGAATTATTTTATTATGTTTTATTTTTATTATTTTATTATTTCCATTCTACGTGACTTTACCGAAAGAACCAAGAAGATTTTTCCTTTAATTTGTATATATTTTTTTTATTAACTTTCCCATACTTTACACTCAGATCGTCTTTTGTTTCGTTCGTTGTTGTAACGTTCTGACCTACCCCCAACCGTACACCTGTGGAGAAAGAGCCTCACAGCTCACCGGAATCCTCCTCGAGTATAAATAAATATTCAGATTCTGAAATGTTGTGCATCACTCCGAACGCAATGCGCGGCACAACCGGGAAAAAAAATACGGAGGCGCGCAGCAGCAGCAGCACAACCGCGACAACCAACGCGGAAGTGGTTGAAAGTGTTTCAGGCCGCAGTGCCCAGCGGTGACGTCGCTGGCGAGTGTGCAGGCGGTGCAACTGCGCCGGTTGCCACGGGCCTGATTGGGGGGAGGGGGGTCAGGGGTTGAGCTACGAAGAAAATTGGATGGGGAGATCCCCCCCCCCCCCCCCCCACATTCTATTAAAAAAACTCAACAACAAAAAAACTATTTCTTATCTTACCAGCTAAGACCCACTGAGATGTGAAGCGACCTGGCCACAAATGATAGCTCAACGAAGTCGCTTATCACGTGTAAATGTATAGCAGCCAAATACTGTGAACGCGTTGTGATTCGAAATGTGGAAGGGACAACTGGAGAACGCGGAGAAAAATCCACATGGCCACGGGGAGAACGCGCAAATTTCAAATATACAGACATCAGGGTCAAGATTGAATCCACGACCTCCTGTATACCAGGCGAGGTAGTTAACATCTCTCTTGCACCAAGGCCCTGGGCAAGCACGCCTACGCCGCCGGCGCCCACGTAAGCTTTCCTACTGCAGGCGAATATCTTGTTCCGTGTACAAATCCCACAATGGCAGCGTGAAAGAAAATAAATAAAGTAATAGCCGCACCGGCAAGCTCGCCAGCAAGCCTACGGGCACACAAAAGACAAAGCACGCTCTTATAAAACGACAGCAAAAAAAAGTGAAATTGCCCGGTTATGGATATTAACTTTTTTTTCTCTCACTCGCCCAATCTCTCACTTTGTCCGCCCCCGGCAAACCCCGCCCCCCTCCCCTAGCCGCCACCACCCCCTCCCTCCCCCACGAATCGTAAACATCTCAGCCACAAATTATTGGCGCTTTATGATCAGCAGCCTTTGCCGTTTTATTGCTCGCAATAAAACGCGACAGGCAGGCAGGCAGGAGTGGAAGTGCCAAGAAGCAATTGTCCCCACCGCAGGCTCCGTGCCAGCTCCAGGAACTTTCTGTGAAGAGAGGTTTGTCGCCGCTGTTGTCGTCGCTCGACGCGTCGTCACTGCCGCCGATCCCTTTCGTTCGTCCGAGTTGGCTCGTTCCCCGCTCGCTTCTCATTGGCTCAGTCGCCATGCTCATTCTCGCGTTGCTTGCTCATTTATGAATTTTCAAAAAATTATTTGTTGCTTATAATGTCGTTATTTGTTTATCCCGGAGAGCCACGCTGAGTCGAATTACTTTTCTTTTTTCGGGAGGTTCCTGCCACCGATTTGGGTTTATATTTGTAAGATGTTTTCAGCCAGTTAATGATGAGGTTCATTTATTATAATTACTAAATATCATTAGACACGTGGGAGGAGGAAACCGGAGCAACCGGATAAACCCACCCCTTGCGCGAGGGGGCAACACTCTATCCCCGTACAGATGACAACAGATGGCGATGAGTCCACACTTGCTGTACCGCCTTCTCCTGGCGAGCCAGGGTACAGCACTTCAACGCCCACGGGAAACGGAATTTCAGGACACCTGTGTGATCCGCCAACCCTCGCTGCCTCCACGATGCGGAGATTACTGGTGTGCATCACCACCACTGCCCGACTTCTTGATTCTTTCGGTAAAGTCACGTAGAAGGAAAATAATAAAATAATAAAAATAAAGACAGACCTGTTCTCCACCTGAAGACGGATGCTTGCATTGTGGCCGAAACGTCGTGATAATTATTTTATTATGTTTTATTTGTATTATTTTATTATTTTCCTTCTACGTGACTTTACCGAAAGAACCAAGAAGATGAATCCCTGCAGTCACGAAAGCTTTAAATCGAAACTGCCCGACTTGTCACTTTCAAGCAGCCATCCGCATTGTGTCCAACGCTCGTGCGTCAGGCATATAACGCAAAGGTGGCCCGCAGAAGTGGATGTCGCAGATCTACGTCTGAGACCACGTCAAGCGATGGTCTCTTCCGCACAGGCAGCGGGCGGCACTTCCCCTGCCACCTTGCTCGTCGCATGAAGTTCAAACATTTATTTTACATTCTCAGCGCTGGAATTTATCCAATTTAAGCTCAGGATCAAACTTACTGTGATGGGGTTTTGTGTGCGTGTGTGCAGTCATTTGTGACTGGGGCTGATAACCTATCAACTAAACAAAATAGCCCACTTCGAAAAATCACGCGGCAAATGGCTCACGCTTGCCAGATTATCCGTGGCAATCATTGCCTCTTCCCCCCCTCCGTTGGAAAGTCCAATGTCCGTTTTGCATGCCCGGCACTGAGCCTCCCTGTGCCGCACAGGGACAGCTTCTGTCACTGAGGGTGCCCTAATTCTCTCTCAAATTTCATACCGAGTACTTCGCTATGAAACTTTGCCCGATTTCTATCCACTGCTAACATCAGTGGCAAGTTATTGCTTCACCGGTCCTTCCCCCCCCCCACCCCCACACCCGTTCAATCCCAACCACGGGTAACATCAGGAGCGAGTAATATCTTAACCGCACCTGGCTCCAACTCCCTTCGTTAACCTCCACTAACCAATCTGGCGAAGTATCGTCAAGTAGTCCCCGTGACGGAAAGGCATGCGGACGCCTCAGTGCAGCGGTGGGTTGACAAAGAGCTCGAAATTCCTCCTATTATTTTGGTGGATCAAAATAAAAAATTCGAACCACGTGAGATGCGATGCAGATACGAAGCGCTCTGAGACGCACCCCAACGCCTTTACACGCCGTTGCAATGCGGGCGCTGCGCCGTTGACCCGTCATCGTGCCGTAGTTCTGGGACAGCAACTTCCAAGGTGCCGCTCCGTGACACGAGGTTTCACGATACGCCGCTCGCTCACTAGCCGCGCGAGGTCTGACGAAAAATCACGGGACGACGCCTTTGATGCGATTGATTGCAATGTAATTGTAGAGGGACGCGGGGGTGGGCGTAGTTGGTGAAAGGCCAGGCAATCAAAATAAATATCTACCAGACGTATTATTGGTTCTTTCGGTAAAGTCACGTGGATAGAAAACAAAAATCAAAATTAAAAGCAAAAAACCCACGACGTTTCGATCGCTACACAAGCGGTCTTCTTTATTTTCTATCCAACTGAAGAAAAACGCTTGTGCTGCGATCGAAAAGTCGTGGGTTTTTTGCTTCTAATTTAGATTTTTGTTTTCTATCTACGTGAAAGAACCAAGAATATGAATTCCTGCACTCACTAAAGTTTTAAGTCTAAATCTACCAGGCAGGTGAAAGTAGGCTTTGGGGTGCGATCCAAGTAAATCCGCTCTGCAGATGCGGTGACCGCAGCAGAGATGGCAGCAGACTCACTTCCACATCGGCTTGCCGTGAGAACCATAAAGGCAAAGATTCCCCGTATAACCTTCAACGGACTGTTGGGGCAAGTGTGGTTAGCGAGTAGCACCTATGAAGGCCGGCACGGCGCTACAAAAGAGTGGGTGGCCGACACCATACGAAGACAAAGATTCCCCGTATAGCCTTAACAGACTGTTGGGGAAAGTGCTGTTAGCGCGTAGCACCGTTGAAGGCCGACACAGTATACGAGAGGGTGGGTGGCCAGCACCACGCCCGACCGCCTTTGTCTCCCCAGTGGCCACGTTTTTACAAACCACACCCGATACTCATTTGAGACTGAGTCGACCGAGGGGAGGCCCATGACCGGTTCAGATGATCGCCGCTGGCATTGGCCGTGAGTGGGAATCGAACTCGGGTCACTGGGCTGGTAGCGCAGCGCGCTAAATGCTACACCGCGCCATGAATAAAGACAAAGATCCCCCGTATAGCCTGTAACAGACCTTTGGGGCAAGTGCTGTTAGCGAGCACCTATGAAGGCCAGAACGGAACACGAGGGGGTGTGTGACCAGCACCACGCGCGGCCGCATTTTTCTCCCAAGTGGCGATGTTTACACACCGCAGCAGGTACCCATGTGAGGCTGTGTCGACCTAGGTGAGGCCCATGACCGGTTCAGATAATCGTCATTGATTTTGGTTGTGAGCAGGAATCGAACTCGGGTCACCGAGGTCGTAGCGCAGCGCGCTAACCGCTACACTAGCGCGCCACACTAAGTGGCGGTGACGTCACCACGACGCTTGTGCCAGGCCAAGTGCACCTTGAGGCCACGTGCAGTGTCGAACGCCCGCTGGCAGGAGGTCACGGGGCAGACCCAGGTGCCACGGGTCGACTGACCGAGATGACCGAGATGACTGAGATGACTGGCTGATGCACTCACGCACACTCACGCACACACACGGACACTCACGGACACACGGACGCACAGACACGGCGCCAGGCAGGCGGTGTGTGGTGCGAGCTCCGAGCTGCACCTGACGTTCTGGTAGCGGTGGATGTAGATGCGGTGGAACTGCGCCGGCAGCTGCTCCTCCTCCACGTTGGACATGTCGTTGATCATCTCAAGCACCACGAACCTGGGCAGCACCGACAGCACCAGCCGCTCCTGCACCACCGCCGCCACAAGCCGAGGACAGACACGCCCCGTGTGTCACCTTGAACGCGTGTACGCACGTGGAACTTCTTTCGCGCCGACATTTTTGGGGCAAGCGGGGTGAGCGAGTCGCATCGATGAAGGCCGGCACGGCACCACCAGAGGGTGGGTGGATCCACCCTAGCCCCCCCATTATCTCCCCATTGCTGATATCAGACACTACGCCAGGTGCTCATTTAAGGCGGAGGAATCGACCAAGGGGAGGCCCAGGAGCGGTTCAGACAATCGTCACTGATTTTGACCGTGAGCGGAAATCGAACTCGGGTCGCCGGGTTTGCAGCGCAGTGCGACAACCACTAGCTGCCACCGCTCCCCAGCATCCCTGCCACCACGACCACCACCACGACCGCGACGAGCGGGTGTGTGTTCCCATCGCTGGCACGGACAAAAACAACAACAGCAACAATTGGAAGGAAGGTGATCAATTTTATGACACCATAGTGCGTGGCTGAGTCTCTGTCACGGAAACTTGTGAGGTGGCGTTTGCCCGTCGTGCACTCGTCCACGATCTATCTCTTTCATTAATTCTCTCTTTCATTCTACACGATCTTTCTTTCATTCTCCGAAATTCTAATTCGGGCTTTGTTTCTTTCTACGAAGGCGCTTTGAGCCAATCTCGTCACGGAAAGGCGTCGCACAGAAATAACACACACAAAGGTTGAGTTTATATTGAACTTGGCACGTCGGTGGCGTTTCGCGATTCTGACGAGGGGCTCTGTGGCTCCGACTGCGGTGGGCTGGAGAGGAGCGGTGGGGGAAGGGGGCAATACCCTCCTGAGAGGGAGTCTTGAGACTCATGGAGAGTGTCTTGAATGTATTAAGGGCGTCCTTGTCAGCATTATCAGTGGGATGGAGAGGTGAACTGGTTGGTTTGTGTCTGCAAATTAGTTTTTATTAGTCAGCCATTTGAACGATTTTGCCGATTTTCAATCAAGTAAGTCCATAAGTCCATATGTATGTTTAACTTATTTCGCACCGTACGCAGCCAACCGTACTAACCCGAGGCACGGGGGAAGGACAACAAACTAAACATAAAGGCAGCTCTAAATCACAACGTTTTAAATTTATATGTAATAGTGCAGAGCTCAAGTGTATTCCTAAAGCTCCAGTCAGAATCAAAATATGCATTCACACTGGAGGAATTCGATCAGCTATACAGCCCTCTCTCTTTCACAGATGTCCAATCGTTTCACAGATGTTCAGCAGATCTCAAAAAAGCTTCCTTAAAAGCAAGGGCCACTTTGTACTCCCGATTCGGGTTCACGCTCAACCATCATCCTCACGAAGTTCAGAACCACCGCGATATTCATTCGCGCTGGAGGAAATCCGACAAGCCGCGAAGCTCTTGTGCACAGATGTCCAGTCGTTGCCGCGTTTCCCGAACGCCTTCCTCGTCGCGGTCGAACGCACCGCGCCAGGGAGTCCTCCGTGTACCTGCCGCTGGTTCTCGATCTCCAGTCGCACGCGCCCCTCAATGCAGCGACGCGTCTCCAGGAAGGCCTGCCGCTGGGCACGGTCCGACAGGGAGCTCGTGACGAGGCCCGCGGCGTTCACGCTCGCCAGCAGCAGCGCGTTGGCGCACAGCTGATCGGACACGCGCAGCGAAGACAAAGACGAAGATCAACCCGTGTAAGCCTGCATTAGACTGTTACGGGTAATATTCTTAGGTTTTGTCGGTAAAGTCACAGCTAAGCGGGCTGTGACGGTTCCACCCGAAGACGGAAGCTTGTGTTGCCTACGAAACGTCGTGATTTTTATTTTATTTTTATTTCACTTTTATTAATTTAATTTTTTACCCTACGTGACTTTACCGAGAAAAACCTAAGAATATGAATACTTGCAGTCACGAAAGCTTCAAATCTAGAATGTTAGGGGTAAGTGTCGTTGGCGAGTTGCAGCGCCTATGTAGGCTGGCACGGCACGCGAGAGGGGTGGGTGGACAGCACCACGCCCGGCGATGTTTACACACCGCAGCAGGTACTAATTTTGAGGCTGAATTTACCTAGGGGAGGCCCAGGACCGGTTCAGATAATCGTCACTGGTGTTGGTGGCCTTGAGAGGGAATCGAACTCATGTGCGCCGGGTTCGTGGCACAGCGCGCTAACCGCTATGCACACACAGCCGCAGTGCAGCATGCCATCAATGCGTCCCCTCTCAGCCCCGCTACTGTGGACCCTGCAGCACCCCACAAAACATTTGAGTCGCCAGCCCGCAAGGCCACTAGCCCACCGGTCCACCACGCCACTCGCCCGCCAGCCTGCGAGCCCACGAGGTCACCAGCCCACTAGCGCACCAGCCCTTCAACCCACCAGCCCATCATCCCATCATCCCACCAGCCCACCAGCACACCACCCCACTCGCCGCCAATTATAGCGTAGACGAGGAAGAGGGGGAATAATGGTCGGATCAGTGCGGCTGACTTACTTCCCCCCGCCCGCCGGTCTAGATGCTCGCGGGTCTTGTAAACACAGCCAGGCACACCAAGGCACGACTCGCTGAATCGCCCTTGTCGCGCCAAAGGGACGATGACTGACACTCAGATCAATTCGAACACGATCTTGGCTTTTCTTCAAATCACTCGCGAGCGACGCGCGGAAGCGTCGAGGGCATCGCATCGTACGAAGAAACGGACGATTGCTGAATGATTATTTTGCCGCGTTGTTACTTTTCTGTGTGTTTGCTTGTACGGTAATTGGTTGATATTGTTGTTGTGCTTACTAAACTGGCCCACGTGAAACCGTACTGCACCCCGCTTCGAGATGTAAATATTTTTTTAACAGGACGGTTGCTGAGCACAGGGCCCAAAATGCCCCAAAAACTCCAAGCGGCCATCAACAAACAACACAATGAAATCTTGATTTAAAGCTTTCGTGACTGCAGCAATTCATATTTTTTGTTATTATTTTCTTTGAACCTATCTATGTGACTTTACCGAAAGACCCAAAGAATATAGCACTATGAAAGTTGTACGAAAATTAAGGGTGAACACCTTTCTCAAATTGAGCAAGTTTATAATAATAAGAAGAAGAACTTGGAGATGAGTGGATGCGATGTGAGGAAGGGATTCTAGAAAGAAAGTAGCAATGCGAGGTAAGAAGCAGAAGGAGGAGCGCTGTGAGATGCAGTGTGGTGAGTGAGTGACAGGGTGAGTCAGAGAGACTGATTGAGAGCGCGGGTGAGTGGGTGAGTGAGTTGTTAAATGAATGAGTGGGTGAGTGAGTGACTGTGTGCGTCTGAGTGGGTGTGTGAGCGGGCGGGTGAGTGAGTGAGTGACAGGGTGAGTCAGGGAGTGACAGGGTGAGTCAGAGGGAGTGATTGAGAAAGCGGGTGAGTGGGTGAGTGAGTTGTTAAATTAATGAGTGGGTGAGTGAGTGACTGTGTTCGTCTGAGTGGGTGAGTGTGTGAGCGGGCGGGTGAGTGAGTGGGTGAGTAACAGGGTGAGTCAGAGTGAGTGACAGGGTGAGTCAGAGGGAGTGACTGAGAGAGCGGGTGAGTGGGTGAGTGAGTTGTTAAATGAATGAGTGGGTGAGTGAGTGACTGTGTTCGTCTGAGTGGGTGAGTGTGTGAAAGGGTGGGTGAGCGAGTGAGTGAGTGGGTGAGTGAGCGAGTAGCTGGGTGAGTCAGAGTGAGTGGTTGGGTGAGTTATTGAGCGTGTTGTTGCGACCCGCACTGAGTGCGGATGAGACAACGCGATAAAACTATGACATGATGATTTTGATGAAACGAGACTGTCACAAATTTCTGGGTGCTTTGATGACAATGCGAAGCGAGCGAATTTTCCGACAAATGTGCAGAGGCAATGTTGACCGCGGGAGCATCACGCAATGCCAAACAGCTCGCAATAGAATTTCAGGAAGGGACATCGATCTGGAGGTAGCGTTAGACGCACCGATCACCGAGTTCAAATCAATTCGCACAAGCCCACTGGACGGTAAGTCCTTGCCGTAACGCGCGGTGCTCACACGATAACTCGCGTTTGCGATAACATGGCTCTTACACTTTTGAACACTTCGCACGAAGAGGATCGCGCACCGTTATAACGCGGAATGAGTGCCCCGTGATAGCGCGGTTCGTGGACGGTCGACGACGAACTACTTTCTTGAGCTACCGTGGCTGAGCGGTGCAGTGATGCAGTGCAGTTCGCGGAGTGATACAGTATCAGTGATTTGCCCTGCCATCTCACCGCGTGGTGCGCGTAAGAAGTGGGTACGCCGCGTCTCGCCAGACTCTCTCGACACATTCATTTATTGGGGCATTGCTTTTCGCTTGACGTGGCACTTTTCAGGAACGCATCGCCGCTTCGCGTAACTAGTAGACCCTAGGTAGCCAGTCGATGCCGCTATGTTCACCAACGTACATAATTTAACAGGATTTTTTTTCAGTGGGCATATTTGGGTCATTCCCATCTCCGCCCCCCTCTCCTAACTTTATTCCTGGGGTCATGTCATGTAAATAATAATATGAATAAAACCCTTCGCGGGGCATCACGATCCGTTTCGTCTGTAGAACAAAGTTCTATCGTCAGAGGGCTTCTTCTGAAAAACCCTTCGCACCTACAACAAAAAAAAAGATTTCCACTGCACTAAAAATAACCACGAACGGCAGTGAGTGTGGAGAATATAAACAAACAAAATAGACACCGGCCAATGCTCCTCCTCCTCCTCGTGCTTCCAACGCAGAGGGCACTCGCCCGTACGGTGAACATCATCCGGCAGTAGTTTGGTTATTCAATCGATTCTGGCATTGTCGATGAGATGGCGAATGTCAAAAGCACTCCGAAGTTTGCTTTGCGTTAAACCAAGGCTGCTGAAAAAAACCAAAACTCCCAACGTTTTGCATTCCCCCCCCCCCTCAACCCATTTGTGTCACTTAAAATAAATAAATAAGCGTGTGACCTCTGTTATATGTGTGCGTGTGTTAGTGAGTGTGGGGAGGGGTGGTGCAGCGGTTAGCGCGCTGCGCTACGAACCCGGCGACCCGAGCTCAATTCCCGCTCACGACAAATTACAGCGCAGATTATCTCAACCGGTCCCGGGCCACCCCCAAGGTCGACTCAGCCTCAAATTAGTCATCTGTTGCGATGTGTAAACATCGCCAGGAGGGAGACAAAGGCGGCCGGGCGCGGTGCTGGCCACCCACCCCCTCGTGTGTCGTGCGGGCCTTAATAGGCGCTCGCTAACAGCGCTTGCCCCAAGGAGTCTGTGTAGGCTATGCGGGGATGATTTTGTTTCTCTTTGCGTGCGGGGAGAGTGAGGGGTGGTTTGTATAAATAAAGCTGTGGAAGTTATCTTGCCCGAGCCCTATTTGCTTATTGATATGACGCCAAACAGCACTTTAGCACTTATCTGTATGGAAAGTCCTTCTGCAAGGGCGCTTAATGCACAAGACAGCAAAGCGCTGCAGACTCAACACAGCCCACCACGCCAACTCAGACTCCCACCACACCAAGCTGAGACTCCCACCACATCAACTGAGACTCCCACCACACCAACTGAGATGGTCCCACCACACCAACTGAGACGACCACCACACAGCTCACCAAATGAAAGTCACAGCTCATCAGCTCTTGAGACTCGCCACGCAGCTCACGCAACAAGTAGCAGCAGCAGCAGCAACAACAATAGCAGCAACAACAACAGCAGCAACAACAACAACAGCAGCAGCAGCAGCAGCAATAACAGCAGCAGTCATCAACATCAGCATCACGATCCACGCCATTTGTTTACACTTTCCTCTGTCTCTTGTGTCAATCTGCTCAAGTAGTGGCCCACATCTTTCTGGCACGGGTCTCTTACGTAGTCGTCAAGTCATTATCTGTTTAGGTCTTCCTCTCTTTCCAGTTCCTTCCATGCTTCCGAACAACAACAACACTTAAAAATGTCCTGTTGTTGTCCATCCTACATGTGGTCTTCAAATAGTGCCAGTTTCCTTCTCATCACTGCCTGCAGCAGCAGCATCATCATCATCAGGTCGTCTTCTTCTATGTGCAAACATTTTTCTTAATTCTACGTTGGTCACTCTTTGGGTTCAGCTTAGATGCAGCAGTAGGCTTCTGTTAGCAATACATTTCGAGTGCCAGTATCTCATCTCTGCAAATCTTTTGTTTAATGTCCCAAGAAGTCTCGCAGGCAGTTAACAACGCTGTACCGAACACGCATGTTTTTTTTAAGATGTTCCGTTTGGTCGTGTCATCAGCAGTAGTTGTAGCAATAGCGGGAGCAGCAGCAGCAGCAGGAGCATGAATAACAGCAACAGCAGCGGTGGCGGAAATAGCGCATGGTACCACGGTGTGCCCACCTAAATAGCTCGCGAGCATGGGGATTAGAGGAGCTTGCGTTGGTGGAACGACCAGCGCCGGCTCTGTCAAAAAAGGTCACGTGACTTCTCATTCCACACCCTCTTGCCCGCAAGTACAATGGGTACACGACAATAATAGCGCGTCCGGTGGCCCGGTGCCTACGGAGAGGTCACAGGCACTGCGCATGGGCACCGCTGAGATTTCTGGCTCTCGTGTCAACGTTTCAGGCCGCGCATGCTATAATTGGGTCGTCAAGTCGAGTGAATTGATGGCTTTGGGCCTTGGT